GGGGGGGGGGGGGGCAATAAAAAAAAAACAGAAGAAAGGAGATGCAGGAAAAACATTCTGCACATTTTTTGAGGACTTAGTATGGAAATGCTGAGTGTCCTGTATGTTTGAGTTGATCTGAGTATCATAGTGAAACTCAAAAACATGTGCTTAAAAATAGGTTTCTAGAACAATTCTCGAAACTTTAAAGGCTTTTTTTGCAGTGTTTGTTCTTATCAACTGTTGGAGCAATCCTTCAGGTGCAATTCAAGATCTAACATATTTTCAGTGATAGCATTTTAAATCAGAAGCTTGAGCTGCTCCAGTTGTTGCACGTCATCTTTAATGTTACCTTCTAACTTTGTCACCTCCTTCTTTCCAGTAGATATTTAATGACAAATGTATTTCTGTGTTTTAAAAAGTAAGCAACAGGTGTTTTACAGAAAGTATGGGGAAGAAATCATCTAGCCATCCTGGCTATTATAATCCTAATTCTGTACTCCTAGGGATTTAAGTGGCCTCACATTTTCAGCAAAAGTAAGTCAGCAGCATCGGAAGAAACTGCTCGTAGCTTAGGGTCCAGCCCCCTGTATTTGGAGTTCTTCTGCCTCAGCTGTCATGTATGATAGTGATGATGAAGTAACTCAGCATCTGATTTCTAATCTGGTTTGTGCTTGCTTTCTGTTCCACTCTCTTTTTCCACTCTCAGTCATTCACTAAAAATGTTGTTATATAGAAAGTGTCCAAGAAAACAATCCTATTATTTTCCCCTCTAATTTTACAGTTAATTTCAGAACTTTTGATGGTGAGGGGTGTGTGTGTATTTGTTTAGTTGGCTCTTTTTAATTAGGGGCAAGTTTAAAGGGATGAATTGTCAACATGCATAAAATTGTATTTAGTCTTTTTTTTTTTTTAAATCAGGTTTTGTGTTCTATTCCTGCAGGACTGACTAGAACAAAAGTAATCTGCTGGGGTCATGAGCCACTCGTCAGATTCCAGCCTCAGGGAAGCTGTCTTTGGTCAGCTTTGTGTGTTGCCGTGTGGAAGGAAGGATATGGGAACGCTTTGTTTTTCACCATTCTCTCTGTCGAAAATATTAATAGTTTTTATTTTTTCCTTGCAGAGATTCTGAAGGACCTGGATGACTACTATGAAAAATTTAAACGAGAGACAGATGCCGTGCAGAAGAGAAGAATGTTGCACTGCATACAGAGAGCCTTGATTCGGAGTCAGGAACTGGGGGACGAGAAGATCCAAATTGTCAGTCAGATGGTGGAGCTCGTTGAGAACAGAACGAGGCAGGTGGACAGCCACGTGGAACTGTTTGAGACTTGTCAAGAGACTAACGATACCACTGGAAACAGTGGGAAAGCCAGCCAAGATAAGTCAAAGAACGAGACAATCGCGCAGGCTGAAAAGCCCAACAATAAGAGATCGAGGCGGCAAAGGAATAACGAGAATCGAGAAAATGCTTCGAATAACCACGATCACGATGACATCACCTCAGGAACACCAAAGGAGAAGAAAGCGAAAACGTCCAAGAAGAAGAAACGATCCAAGGCTAAAGCAGAGAGGGAAACTTCTCCCCCAGACCTTCCCATTGACCCTAACGAGCCAACATACTGCTTGTGCAACCAGGTCTCCTATGGAGAAATGATAGGATGCGATAACGATGAGTGCACCATCGAGTGGTTTCACTTTTCCTGCGTGGGACTCAATCATAAACCAAAGGGCAAATGGTACTGCCCCAAATGTAGAGGAGAAAACGAGAAAACTATGGACAAGGCATTGGAGAAGTCTAAAAAAGAAAGGGCTTACAACAGGTAGTTTGTAGACTTTTTGTAGCGAAGAAAAAGAAAACCACCAAACCAGTGTATTTATTGTCGGTGTCACCTTTGTTGAGGTGAAAGGATTGTAAAATGTATATTTTTAAAGGAGGTTTAAAACTGAACCATTCCTGTTATAGGGACGGCAATAAGCAATTTTGTTTTTCATTTGGTAAACTGTAACAAGACTCTGGTCTGTGGACCAATGTATTCCAAAAGTAAAGTTATAAGAGGTTAAACAAAATATTCTGGTGGGTCTTAAAAGATAAATTAATACTTTTTTTTTTTTTCTTCCCAGGTGCTGGTAGCACTCTACCCATTAAAATTTTGATGACAAATATCTCTGAAATGTAATTTTGTTTTCTTTCTTGAAGAATGTTATTTACCTTTTGAGCGAAATTGTTAAATAGTTTAGCCATCTGGTTGTATCCGAATAAAGCCGCAATACATCACAAATGTAACTTCTTTTGATGATAAGCAGTGCAAGACCAAACAAAAGGAGGGTAAAATTTGGTTCCTGCTACAAAGTGTCAGTATAACAGTTCAATAGCAAATGTTTAAATAGGCTTAGAGGATTATTTTTAAAAAAAGAAAAAAGTTAATGGTTAAATTTTACACAGCAAATATTTTATATGCTGGCCGAGTACCACAAGGGCCATTTTAAAATGATTGAATATGTTTTATATTTAACCAGGAAGTGGTTTAGTAATGAGACTTAACATAAACGAAGCTTTATACTGTCACAGATAGTAATGTAGCAATCCTTAATTTGTTTAAGTTGTATAAATGTACATTTTTAAGTGGAGTTGCACTTACTGTATTATACTTGGAACTGCAGCCAAATGCCATTGTGTAACCAATGTGCATTTCCTGCTGTATGTATGAAAATTGTACAGCTGTGATATTAAGAAATAAATGAAACAACTTTGACAGTTTGCTTCTTTAGCAATCACGTTTAATGGTCATTCATATAGCTTCAAGAAAAAAAAATAAATAATAAAAGGTCTTTAACCTCAGCAGCTCCAGCAAGCTGCTGCGAGGAAGCCTGAAACTGTTGTAGTGGTAACCAAATTACAGTTCTGATAATGAATCTTCATAGATGACCAGCAAGGTCGCAGGAGAGCCAGAACAGCATTTAACTTTCCGTCCAACTTGACTTTTTTTTTCTGTGCTTGCAGTTGCTCCCCAGACCTGACCATTTATGTAAAAATCGATAGTGCAGAGCTGGTCTTGTTGGGTTGTTTTCACGCTTTTACGGTACAGATATAAATTATTCCATCTTTGTTACCAGCAGCAAGATGGTTGGTGTTGCAGCGGCTGGCTGGCTGTGGCCAAGGTGCTGCGCGCTAGAGCCGGTGTCCAGGTCCTCTCTTGCCCATCGTTACAGTCAAGCTTGGCCAGACTCGTTTCCTTCCCCTGCGTGGCCGGAGGGGCCGACCTTCTGACCGAGCTGATGTCGTCCTCTCGTCCCCCTGGGTGGGACTTCACTGCGAGTGAGAAGGGGATGGGACCAGCAGCAGGAACGCCTTGGAAGTGAAGGTCATGCAATCTGGTGGGTCAGACAGGAGCCTTGTAAGAACATGGGAGGCTGGGGTTGGCTGTTTTTTGGAGCATGGCATTCTCTTAAAATTTATAATTGTGTTGTTTTGCTTCCTGGCCAGTGGGACCGTACCACTGGAGTAGTGCTGCTTCTTCCCCCGACGTCTCTCTGTCGGAAGTGGGGGAGACGAGGTTTTGGATCCAGCTGAACACAAGGCAGTTGAAGGGGCTGAGTGTTCCCTAAAGATGTGCTGAAAAGCCCTGCCATGGATATTCCCTGCCAGACAGACATACCCACAATGACAAGCAGAAGCCCTGTTTTACTTCTAAATAGGCTCACGGGGCGTCTGTGCCCGCGCATTCCTGTTGCCAGTCGCTACAGTCCATCACCTTACACCAGCCACCTTTGCCCTGGGCAAACGACCACTCCGAGTCATGTCTCCTGCTCCTGAGGTGGGGTTTAGGGTTGGCGTGTAATGTCTTTTCTTTCTTACCCTTCTCTTTTCTCTCTAAAGCCGCCTCATTTTCCATTCTCCTCACGCACTTACCCATCTTTCCTGCTCCTCCCTCCTTCCACTGGCTCTTGTCATGACTATTCCTGATGTTTCTGGTCTTTGCTGTCCTCCCCTCACAGCCAACGCTGAGAACACTGATGTTTGGCAGGACTGTACTCACGAAACCCCAGTGAAACTTAACGTAGGAGCTGGTGCAGCCACAGTTTCAAACTATAGCCTTTTTCTTGAAACGTCCTCGTTGGTTCTGCGGGGCATTTTGATTGGGAAAAGTCAGAAGGAAACAACAAAGGTGTGAAGGAGCAATGTGAGAAAAGTTGGGCTAGAGATGGACTGGTAGCGCAGTATTTATACTGCCCTTAAATGAATGTATTTCCAGCTACTGTATCACAGAATCACAGAATGGTAGGGGTTGGAAGGGACTGTCAGAGATCATCTAGTCCACCCCCCTGCCAAAGCAGGTTCACCTAGAGCAGGCTGGACAGGAACGCATCCAGGTGGGTTTTGAGTTTCTCCAGGGAAGGAGACTCTACACCCTCTCTGGGCCACCTGTTCCAGTGCTCTGCCACCCTCAAAGTGAAGAAGTTTTTCCTGATGTTGAGATGGAATTTCCTGTGTTCCAGCTTGTGCCCATTGCCCCTTGTCCTGTCTCTGGGCACTGCTGAGAAGAGCCTGGTCCCATCCTCCTGACTCCCACCCTTTAGATATTGATAAGCACTGATGAGATCCCCTCTCAGTAGGAGAGGTTTCTGTAGGTTTGCTCTGGTCTCCCATATTTTCACAAAAGACCACTGATGATCTGCAAGGTGGCTTGGAGTTACATCCCTTTCCATGTTTTTCCAAGGCTCCGACTCACGCTGTTACAGCCTGCTATGTTGCTCTGCTGCTTGACCCCAAGGGCTGACTGGACCAGCACCGTACCGTTTGAGGCTCTAATTTCAGTTGATGGGCACATTAATTACTTTAGTTCTATTTGAGGGACTGTGGCAGTAAGCTTTTTGCTGATGTGAAGTGAAGCCATCTCATGTTATACTGACACGCTGGCTTTGGTGTCTTGCCTTAAATGCCATCTTCACAAATCCTCCTTTCTTTGTTATTTGCAGTGAATTTAATGGTCATGAGAAGCCGCCATCCTTTGAGCCAATTTTTGTTCTTTCTGCACGATAGATCAGCTCATTTGCAATGTTCCTCATTACTGCTTGGTGGGGTGGGGGTGCTGTCGTTTGGGGAGATCATCCGCAGCTTTGAGAAAACATCTCAACCTTTGGGTGACCCTTTCCCTCTGAGGCTGCCAACAAAAGGCTTGAGCGAGGGGAAGGCTCCTCTAGGAACCAAGATGAGGATTGTGGCTTGTTTCCCACAGGCTAGCACACGGCTGTCAGGCATGGTGGCATCCGTACAGTATATAAAAATCAGGAGGTGTTGGCTGGGCAGCAGGAATCACAAACTTCTTAAACTTCTCTTTGAAAACATTCAGGCAGCTGTGACCGCCGCTGACCTATGGTAGGTGCCATGGGTAGGTCCATATCCTGCTACTGAACCCTTGAGCTGATGGTTGGTCCTTCCAACTGCTGACAAACATGGTTTCAAGTCGAGGGAGCCGGCAGCAGGCCTTATGCCTGAGTTGTCCCCATCCTCAGGAGGCAGGTTTGTTCCGCAGTAGGACAGTGAAGAGCTGGTGCTGAAGGCAGGAGGAGCAGGGCAGCAGTGAGGGAGCCCTTTGGGGGCTACGACAGCTCCAACTGGAAAACATTCCCAGCCGGATGGAGAGAGAGAACCACCGTGAGCCTGAAACGGTGGAGCAAAGCACCAGTTCCAACCATCCTGTCACCTGGAAGCATCCCAATTAAGCAGAACCACTGTCTCCATTAAGCAGCGGCAACCCTGGCCGTGTGTATCATTAGGTTTAAATAGGTTCCTTACTAATTAAGCGCAGTTGCTGATTAACTGTGTCCTTATTTCGTGGAGCGTGCAGAATAAATACAATTGAATAGGACTGCTGCACCAGTCTCATTTTTTGGTATTTTTAGTTAATCTTTTAAATTGTAATAAAAATGAAAGAGGGGGCGACGAAATAGCGTAAACTGTTTCACAGAATATAATACCAAAAAAAAAGTTCTCTGTAGTAGAAGTGCTTCAAAACAAATTTGAATATCCATTTTGTTGCTTTAGTTAGATTTATTATCGTTCTCATGGCCTATTTGCTCTGTGTAGATTAAAAAAATCCCTCCTCATGCCAGCCATAGCTCTAAAGGGCTAATAGTTTCTTGCCTCTGAGTGCCAAGAGTAGCGTTCGATGCAATGCCAAAAAATAGTCAGGCTAATAATGCTTCATGCAGCTTCTTGCTTTCCCAGGTGTTACTGAAATCCCCGATGAAACACGTAGGAGTGACGCAGTGAGGAAGAGCACCGGAGCAAACAAAATACGTATAGGAAGCACTGAGATTATAATTAAAAAATTAAGGTTTTCTCCTGAGTTCAGGATGCCTTGATTACGTTTCCCATTAAGTGTTTATTGTTGATAGTGCAAAAACAGCAAAGGTACCTCTGTCTCCTCGTACAGCAGGGGGTCTGTGGTAGTGGCCAGGACAGGAGTGTGGAGGGCTGGTGGCTTTCCCCAGTGGCGAGGTTCTGGTTGTTGGTGTGCAAGACTGATTACCAGGTTAAATTCATCCTCCAGTTCACTTTATAAACATATTTTCCAATAGCAGTTACCATCCCTCACCCCGGCGAGTGTTACTGGCCCCTCTGCAGGACCTCAGTGCTCTCTCAGCTCTGCTGGAGAAGATGGAAAAGGTGCTGGAAAGGTGCTCGATACCAAATTTTTACAGAGACCAGCATTTAAATTTCGTAGCTCTTAGGCCTCTCCAAAATACTTCAGAACTTCAGCTAATTATTCTTAAAGGCTTTATGTACTATACGTCTAACATAAGGTCATGAATTCTCAGATGCTGCAGTAACGAAGAGTGTGGAAGTAATCTCGGATGCTTTGTAGGAGTCAAAATTCCTTTCAGTTGTTGGGCTGAAAAATTTAACCTCCGTCTGAATTTTAGGCAACTAGCAAAGCAGGGAGCAAAAAATGTGTGTGAAATGGCAGAATTCCTTGCAGTACAGTGATTTTGAGTTTACACAGGACTGTGCTGTATGCACCGTGCGCCTGTGCACTGAGTCTATCCCTCCCTCCAAAAGATTCAAGGAAATTCCCCGGATGCTTATCAAATGTACTCCTGTGGATATTGACAGTGACATTCATTTTTATGCTGCTTTAAATTGTTACTTTTATTTTCAAAAGCTTACTTCAGTAAGTCAGGCTTCCTGTATATGGCTGTCGACCGAGACTGAGGGCTGGAAGGGGCTCTGTGGGACCTGCAGAAGACGCGGGCAGTCGGTGACTTCGTGCTGGTGGTACATCGGTTGAGTTCTCCACACAAGCTCTGGCTGAACTGGGCCTGAACTTCTGCTTCGTGCTTTGGGGAAAGGATCAGGGTGTAAAGAAAACAGAGTCATCTCTTGCATTTGGCTTGCTGGTAAGTCAGGTAAAAATATATATATATATGCACTTAAACTTGAATCTCCTAAGTGAATCTTGTAAAACTTGGGTAAGGCAAATAGAGTCACCTTTATGCTCTCACTTTGTGGAAGAATTAATGCAATTTAAATGCCTGTTGTGCTCTCAGTGCTGTACATCCTGAACTCCCTCATCATGCAATACACTTCACTAGGTCGATATTTTTTTTTTCAAAATAAATCAAATTTGAAAAAAAAAAAAGAAGGTTTTTAGTGATAAGGATGAGAAACCCAAGTGAATTGTGCATAAATGATTTACCTGCATACCGAAAGGAAATGTTTTGCTGTGTTAATTAAAAGATATATATCAGG